TGCGGCGGTGCCCAGCGCCCTCCGCCGCTCCCCCTCCTGCTCGCCCTGGGGTAGGTGAGGATTCAGCGCTGCTGCCTGCCCTCACGCTGCTCCCCGTTGGGATCCCTGGCGGCAACTGTTACGGCCTCTTAACAGCAGAGAGACTTGGCTTCTTCAGACGTAAGCCAAGTTCTTAAACTGTGTGACCGGACGATGAAACGTGAGGATGCAAGAACAAGACTAGAGCTACAGCGGTGGGGAGAAGGGGAGCGTTAATTGTACACGTGCTGTTGTGCAAATGCCAGAATGCCTTTTTTTTCCAGGCTGAGAACCCACCTCGCCTCCTTTCCTTTAGCTGAACCACATCTCCTCAGTTTTCCTTCAGTTCCCTTTAACTTCTTCTTGCTGATAACCAGCACTAAAGCTTTCTGTATTTTTTCTGTATTTCTGATTTAAAGGATTAACATTGCAAAGGCTGCTTACAACATTGCTATATTTCCCAAATGTCTTCACAGGGATCGTGTTTTTCTTTCTGGGGGGGAAAAAAAAACCCTTGGCTAATTGAATCTACCATGCTTATTTCAGGAATGGGAGGCAATGGGAGTAGAGCAACTGCGTCTCAGCACTGTGGATCTAACTGGAGTTCCCACCTTGCAAAACCTCCACAAGGGTGTCGAATTCATACTGAAACACCGAGAACGTGGTAACAGTGTTTATGTGCACTGCAAGGCAGGACGCTCCCGCAGTGCCACCATGGTGGCAGCATATTTAATTCAAGTAAGAAGGGTTCTGTACTAAATCGGGTTTATGTTATACCCTCTGGGCAAGTAAAGTGCTCAGAGATGGCCCAGCCTCTACAATTTGATTCTGCTCAAGAAACCCGAGTGTGTACAATTGCATAAATAGGCCATGGTTTTACCAAGTTTGGACTGGAGACCCATTTGAAGAGAGGTAGGTAGCTAGGCCCTACATCTGTTGCTGTCTGTTTTGCAGATGACTAATGCAAGCTAAAGGAACAAACGAAACTTGTATTGGCTGAACAGCAGTCTAAACTTCCTTTGACAATGTAGCTTATCTTTGCACACTTTGTTCGTTTGCCTTTATGTTACTGACCAGTTAATGCCTTCTGGCAGTGAGGTAGTGGTGAAGTTGCAATGGAGCCTCCACTGTAAGTAGTCTTTTCATTCATCTGTACAGTCTGCCTCTGACAGCTCAGTTATTAGCACAGACACTGGCAAAGATGTTTCATGTTATGGGACAGAAATTGCCGTTGAGAAGAAGCTTTGAAACGTGCACTCTCACAGTATCTGTTGCTGGTTCTGGCAGATGACTCAGACTTCAAGAAGCTGTTCAATTTACTGAGCCACTAATACAGCATGTTCTGATGCGGTTTTGAATGATTCTGCTGTTCATAATTCTTTTTAGGGAGGAACAGATTGAGTTGGGAATAACAAGTCACTCACATGAGGGTAGATTCACTGAGCAGCTAAACTTCCTTTTTTTTTTCCTATTTACCTGAAGTGGTGAGCACCTCAAAATATAATTCAGGATCATGAGAAGTAACTTTGGTTTTCCCGAGTTCCTCTACATATCCGACTGTGCAAGCTAGCCCTGAAAACACGATCCCACCTGTGGGATCCTTCTGTTGGAGTTCTTAAATACACCCTGGGAAATCTTCCCTTAGTAATGCCCTAAAGTGCTAGAGCGGGGGTAGTACTAGTACTCTTTACCTCTTTACCCACCTTTTCCTCCAGTCTGGTGGGACTAGGACAGGAAACTACTTACATCATGGAAGCATGAGTGAGATAGAACATGCAAGTCCTAAACAGCAAATGTTTTTCTTTAGCTGAGGGACTCATTTCATGAATTTGCATTGACTTTCAGGCCCCTCTGAGAGAAGATGAATAAAATGGGAGGGACAAAAGGAGCAGGTTTTCTAACTGAACTCTCATGTTGTCTGTATCCTCCGTGAAGGCTCCATTAACCAGTGCAGGGATAGAACGGATTTTCACATGCAGTGTTTCTCCCTTTTCAGCTGCATCACTGGAGCCCTCAGGAAGCAATAGAGGCTATTGCCAAGATCCGTCCCCACATCCTCATTCGGCACAAACAGGTCCAGGTCCTGGAGGCATTTCACAGGAACATAATTGCTGGGACAACGGCAAAGCATCAGTAAGAACCATAAAGATCTCAGAGTCTCAGCTCCTAAAAAAAAAAAACCCCTTGGATCTTAATGAAATAATGAAGGTTTAAGTATTGTATTTCTTGGCCATCAATAAACAAGTTTTTACAATGCGCTACTTTGAAGGGCAGGTTGGGCTGTTTCATTAAAGTGTCTCTCCTTATGGCTAGTCTCTTATTTCTTTTAAAGCCCAATAGTTCTTTCCCACACGCAACATCAGTGCAGAGCCAAACTGCCATCCACATAATGCTCTGTAATTGCAGCAAAGGAAAATAGAACTGTGTCTCAGCAGAGACTTTATTCACTTTCTTACCCAAAGGGTTACAGTGTCAGAGAGGGGTAGAAGGAAGTGGACTTAATTCCATCTTTCACCAACACTATGTTTTGATTACAGGTTCGGATTCCCTGTACAGACAGGAAAGCCAATGCTCTTAAGAATCATCTCCCTCTTTATTCTTGGTGACAATACAGCAGAAAGCAAGTTCCCAGTTTGTTACCACTCCTCTAGGAGAAGTGCTGAAGCATACAACCCACTCAAGGTTTGGGCTCAGCCCTGGCATCTGTCCACTGTTAATGTAATTGCCAGTCCCACCAGCTGCTACAGGGACACAGGAATGTTTAAATGGGGACTTCCCTGGAGGACAGGCACAGCGCATCTACTCTTCATGACTGGCAACGGCAGCAATGCAGTCTCCCAGACAGTTAAAACCAGCCGTCCGGGCCACAAAGGAGGTTGTCCATATGCTATAGGATTTGTTATTGGTTTGATAGTTCCAGGCTAAAAAAGCCACTTGCTGCAGCTTTGGCCTCAAACACAAGCAGCTTATTATCAAGAGATCACAGTAATAGCGTTTAGTCCATCTGAAACCTAAGATGTAGCAGTTCAACTTTAATAGTGCTAAGTAAGAGAATAGGCCCACAGCCAGATGGCTGGTACTTCCTCTGCGCAGACATAGAGGACGGGCTGTTTACTGGATGTTGTGAGCTCGTAGTAATTGGAACTGGTGCTGAGAGTATTTGGTGCCTCTGAGGTGCACTGCAGAACATCTTTGCTGCCCTTTCTACCACTGGGCCTGTTTTTCCCTCTTAGGCCAGGACAAATTGCAGGTTAGTGAGCAGCACTTTGATACCACTTGTGACTGTTACAACAGAGGTGGCTGGGTTAAGTTTAAAAGTATTTGCATCACCCTTTTTATAGCGGTCTCGAAAGACGTAGATGCTGCCATTGCAGCTGGCAATTTTCCAGAGGGATGGTACTGAGCTCCAGGCATCTGGCAGGCAGAGCCGGGTGAAGCTATCCAGTAAGGGATTATAGCATAGCAGGGAATCCCCCTCAGCTACAATAAACACCACATCCTTGTGTACAGCAGCATGCATGCGCCCCGCAAAAGGTAGCACATATGGCTTCACGTGGCATTTCTCTGTGTTGGTATCATAGCACTGAATAAGCCGAGAGGGCTTGGTGAAGAAGTCCAAGTCATTCTCTTCCCCTCCCAGCAGGTAAATGACACCGTTAAGGTTTACACCTGCAGCCCCCGATACGGCCACTTCCAACTGGCTGGTCTCTGTCCATACATTGTCTCGTACTCTGTAATATATGACAGCATTAGAGAGAGTGTCCTGCAGAGTTTTCCCCCCCAGTGAATATATAGCATCCTTGCTTGGCACGGAGACTAGGGTATGTTGGAGCCGGTCACGGGGCAGAGGGGCACACCATTCCCAGTCTATAGTTGCGTTGTTGCATTTCCACATGCGTCGTGGAATGGAGCCACCGACAACGTATAGGTCACTACCATGCTTGCAGGCTGCAGTGATCTGGTGACACAGGCTGTTCTGGCCACTCACGCTTATGGAGTCATCATCGGCACAATGCAGAGAGACAGCAAGCGAATGCGTACGTGATGACTCCTTCCCAATCAGGTAGATGTGAACATTTTCTCCAATCACCTGAGAGAAAGGAGGAGCGTGTCAGTCTCAGCCGAACTCAGGCCTGTTTACACAAACATCAGTGATATCTAAGACTGAATCTTTCAGTGTTTTAGGACCCACCCGTGAGCCTGTGGTGTGTGACCTGCTCCCAACGCCTGCCACCCTAAAGCACTCAGGATTCAGAGCCCCAAAGCCTTTTCAAGATACCCCTCATCTCTGATCTAGCCGAGTGAACAGCATCCTTCATTTGAATCCTAGTGCCTGCAATTTTAATTACAGGCTGGTCACATCACTGAGGGAGTAGAGTTATTATAAGGGAAATGCCAAACTCTAAGATTTCTGAATGGGCTCTTCAGTAACTGGGCCTCTGGTGAAATGAGTTACTGGTGGCATGACCCTCATCACCGGTAACAGCAGTGTGAAGTTGAAGAAGCTGTCAGTGGGGTTTCTGTTTATGACAATGAAAGTACTCCTCACACAAGCACCATGAATTGCAACGGCAATTCATGTTTCGCAACTTTCAGGTCACACCTGTGAGCAGAAGACTCTTTCCTTGGGAAGTGCAAAACCAGAAGTACTACACCAACCCCACAACAGAAGATCTTTAAGTACCTTGAGACTTGATCGCAGCGTCTCTGAAAAGCCTGCTCGCTCTTCCTTGTTGAAGTTGATCCAGGTTTCTATGGCAACTGTTGGATTCTGAGAACATGGAACGCCATCTGCGGGTTCAGGGACAGAAAGGAATTTATCCGATCTACACAAAAATTAAAGATATATGCAGCCATGACCCTCCATTTCTCCAACTCCTTCCCACCATCCAGCCACAAACCCTACCTTTGGAGTGGCAGAAAAGAGACAGCAGTTTATAGATTTTGGCAGACACGATCAGCACTGCCAACCAGGTATCTACATCAAATTTGCTTGGTTAAACATCAGAAGACAGAGCTGCCAGATTGTAAACGTTTTAGATGAGTTTCAACAAAGGAACCTATGTCAGACAGAGAAAGAGGGCAGGAAAGAGACTTTACATGCTTGGTGAGGATGAAAAATACTCTCTCATTTAGGCAAAAAGATTCTCTTATTTGAGAATTGCAGTAGCTGCATTTCTTGGATCACTGGCTGCTCCTGCAAGTTCATCTAGCAAAGGTGATTTGCAAAAATTTTTCTTCCCCATGCACTTATTCAAACAGTTGACCCTCAAGACCGAATACGTGCTCTTGCTGCTATCCTGTCAGCATTTGGAAATCTCACGTACTATGGTGAGCTACTGTAGCTTTCCTTAGCAGGGTGACAACAGGAAACATTCTACACTTAACAGACTTCATCAGATTTCCATTTGCTTCCAGATATAACTGGAAGTTTTGGTTATACCATAAGCTATTGCACCATCATCAGTATATTACCAAAAGTTTTTAGGTATTTGTTTCTAGTCTGAAAGACAGCTAGCTGCCATAACTTTAGCTATTACACCTCTGAATGTATTCATTCAGAGACTTCCCTATGAAGGTTCTCTGATTTTTGTAATCTGCTCTCTCAAAGAGGCCCAAATTCAAAGATGCTGAAGTCATCAGACAAATTCAACACTTTTCTCTATACAGGAAGAATAAGGGGGAAGAAAGGCAGTATTTTGAGCTTGCTTATTAGTAAAAGGGACTTCTGTATCCTGTTCATTGGATGTAGTAGCCAGGCCAAAGTGGGTAAATGGAAAAGCTTTGATTTTGAAATTGGTCGTACAGCACAACAAAAGGGAAGCTTTATAAATAAATATCTCCATGAAAATTTATTTTAGTCCTTGCTACTAACAGCTTCCCCTCTTTAATTGTCCATTAACTAAATCAACAAACAGGAATTGCAAGAGAAAAAATGGTTCTATTCCATACCTAAATAAGGAAATAGATGATGCACAGAAAAAACATTTTCTTAAGCAATTAGTTCAAGACCGCAAACACTAGAGGTTATCATCTTAAAACTATGGTTATTGCATGGTATTACCAATGCGAAGAGTTAAGGGCAACTGGCTACTATAGCTTTATTTTCAACTGTTATTTTAGGATTTTATTTTTAATGAAGCTGCAAATTTGAATTTTTTAGGTTTACAAAACTAGGAATAGTTATCAGAATTCCTCTAGTTTTATCATGGTTTCTTTTGAGCTACCAGCACATACTCTCAATAGGTTTTTGACTGTGACTTTCTTTAGATGCAAAGCAAATATGACACTACAATGTCTGTAAAGACTGACATATGCAAAGCATCAACTTTAAAGGCTATTTTAAGTCTCAAGGACAGATTTGCCAATATTCCAAAGAAGCCGGTCACCCTAGGTTTACGGGTGTAACAGCAAATACGGCATATGTGACACAAAGTGCAGTGATTTACCTGTTTACAGAGGTTTTTGGTTTTGTTATTTTTTAATTATAACAACAAAGGAGACTGCTTTGGGGTCCCATATCCAGTATTTCTGAATGTATAAACTTCTTCTACCCTCTTGCTTTCTCTAAGAACGATACAGAAATCCACAAAAAATGGAACTGTACTGCAGCATCATGGACAGGTTTTAAAGCCCTGGCTGTATGCTACTAAGGCAGCACAGAATCTTTAGGGATTGGTGGAAATTGGACTAAGATGTTGACGGGTTGACAGGTCCTTCACAACACTGACTCATTGCAACCTTTCCTGTAGAAGGCTAGTACCTTTACAAGAAGGGTAAATACTGTATTACTTAAGATTTCACAATGCCTCTAGTTGAGTCACCTGAGTGTCTAGCCTAAATAATCCTAACAATTAGATACAATTGGTAATAACACTAACAGAAGTCTAGAAATACAGCTTGTACTCAAGCCTTCTTGGAAGTTTTCAGTTGATGCATTACTATGTCAAATGATAAAGAATGAAAAAAAAAAGACTTTCATAAGATACTAATTTTTTTGATAAGGCTTCTTTTTTTTTCTCCACTTTCCATGTAAACAAAAAGTCACCAAATTGTTGAAGATTAATAAGCTGTGTTTAAGACATCTATAAGCGTGGATTCCTTGTTCTCACAAAAACATGCAAGATTGCGTGCTGCTTACCTGTTGCCTCAGGAACTGCTGGGAATTACCAGCATCCTCTATGTTCCTGTTAAGTCTTTCCTTCCTAGGACTCTGCTTTATAGCTTAATCGCTTTATGACCAGTGTTGGTTAACAGTTTTCTCTGATGAAACTATGGACAATGTTTTGCTTTGCTTAGCTAAGCCTCTGAACAGACAGTGATTATGAAAGCTTGTATCTTTCCATCCGTCTTGGTTATTCAGTCCCTACCACACTCTCATACTACAGTCTCAAGTCTCTTTCCACGTTCACATTCTGGCTAGTCTCAAAAACTCCTTACCTGTAAGGATGTCTGTCAGTAGGCGGAGAGGTAGGTGTAGAAACTCCTCTGTGTCTTGAAGTTGAGACAAATGTGACTTGGCACAGTGTTTGGCAGCTGTGTAGAGCTCCATGTCACTGTGTTGATCTGCTAACCACATGACCTGCAGACAGTTCCTAACCTGCACCGTACGGGCCAGAAAACGTGAGCATTCTTCAAAAAGGGCAGTCAATTGGTACATGTCTGCCACTTCATAGGTTTCTTGCAATTCCTCTGCCCTCAGCTTTACAGTCCCATGGTAAATGTAGTCCACAAGGAGCTGAAAGACACTCTCGCTAACATCCTGCAGCTCAATCACCCGGTTGTGGGCCTCCTTCAGGTTGGAAGTGAACATGGAACGAAAGAAGCAACTCTGAGCCGAGAGGACCAAACGGTGCAGCTGGAATTCTTTACCTTCCACTGATATTGTAACGTCAGCAAACAGCTCATCCTCCAAGCATAGTTTCATAATGCCCTGGGCCACGCGGCCTGAGTGGGAACGATCAGTGAAGGTGTAGTTCACAAAGTAGTTCTCTTCTGTGGAAGAGCCTCCAGTCTCTTCTGATGAGTCCATGGTGCTGCACAGATCAGACCTCCAGCAATCTGTAAAATCGCAATGGTTATAAGACCTTCTCCCTCCACTAACAAGATTATGCAGTAGTCCAGGGTACAGGGGAAAATCAAGGATATCGGTAAGAGGCCAGCGTACTTTAGACTGAATATAAATAGTGCTGCCAGAAACTTCTGCTTGAGCTTCAGAACGTCAAACAACTAAAACAAATGAGAAGCTGGCATGTTTAAAATTATGAAATATACCAAACTTCCAGTACAGTCCGCATCACATCCCAGCAGAATTAGAAGACATAGACATCTTTTCACCGCTCATCTCACTGATGCAAAGACGTGCCGCAACAGCTATTCAGGTGGAAAATCCAGCAACCACACTAGAAAAGTGGCAAAGCCAAGAGATTGCCGCAGTAGTACAGTTGTGCTAGATGGAAGAAAGAAGGATTACAGTATTGTACTAACAAAGAGCAGAGGCAGCAGTTCATATCATCAGCAGGAGCCAATTATCATCCAAAAACAGCATCATGAATTTTTGCAGTGGTATCAAGTACAGCAAGTTTGTTTTTACCAAAAAAAGAGGCATAAAAAGCCTACCAGACATCACCACCAGTCCTTCAAACTAACCAACTGAAAAGCCTACCAAGTAACTGATGGTCAGATGCAGTTTGCTAAGGTGCCAGACATCTTCAATACGCAAAACAACATGCTAGATGTTGTTAGCCACTGTTTCCCAAGTGGCAAGGAGAACTCAAATGGCAAGATGATACCTCTTAGTAGGAAACAGAGATTATTTGCAGAGCTCCTAACAGTTTGTTGGTAGAGAAAGAGGCTTATGACCCAAAGAAGAACTGCTGTAGAAAAGAGCTTTTCTTTAACATGGATCTTGACTGCATTAGAAGCAAATAGATGCCTACCTGCATTCACATTAAAAACTTATTTTTAACCTCAACCATTAGCCATAGTCACTGACAGCTCAAATTGCTTCAATTAATACTGAACATGACTTCTGTGCAACATCACCCAGGGACAGGATTTTATCCTACAGATTTACCGTTACTCTTCCATGCTTTATTTTGTCAAGGGTGCACTTTCTTACCGTTGGTCCACGTGGTACAGGAGGGCTTCTAAATTTTTTACTAAAATTCCGTTCACGAGAGGTAGCTTCTGCATCCCTAATTGGCTGGACAGCTCTTTCCCAGCCCTGATGATTGCCTGCCTTAATTATGCACTTTTCCGCCAGGCTTTAACTATTATAGAATATCTATACGTTAAGCTGTAAGAGACTAAGAAATTGCCATCAGCGCAGAATATCTCAATACCATTTTTCCAGCAAAACATGTTTCTGCAAGCACAAGCCTGTCATCCACATTAGCTCCCACTTCAGTTCCTGCTCTTGATCCTTACATTCAAGGTACCCAAAAGCCAAAGCGCAAAACCCCTAAGCGACTGCCCAAGAACCAGGATAAGGATGAACTAACAACCTGCCCCCTTAGCACAGGGGAACCGTCTGCCCAGGGAGGCCTGCACAACTTCCAAGGGACTGAAGCCAAGCCACGAAAGAAATGCCAACAGCAGCTAAAGGCTACCGTAGATCTCGCGTCCCCCTTTGTAAACAAAAAGCCGTCCTTTTCGTCCATGATTTCTCCGCTATAAAGAAAGAGAAGTACAGGAACATTAAAAACGTCCCATGAAACAAAAGTTTACACTCCACACGTTCCTCGTGCTAGAGAAACAGTGAGCTGCAGTATGCCTGGGATTATGCAATGACCTAACTAATAGCCAGCACACCTACTTCTTTGCTTTCTCCTGAGGGGCTCACAGATGCCACGACAGCTAGTGGGGTCAAAGAAGTGAAATACAGAATTGCCAGCAACTTAGGGGAGGGGGGGGAAAAAAAAAAAAAAAAGGAAAGCTAGTTCTCGGGAAATCAGGGATTACCATTAAGGCCACTTTAAAGCTACGGAGAGACGCACAAAATCTAAAAACGCCCGAAGGTTAACTAGTCTCTAGAGCAGCGCTTTCACCGGGGGGATCCTTTAGGCTCCCGCCTCCTCACCCCTAGCAGCGAAGACATTTTGCAAACGTCGTTACCCGGCTTGGCCGCGGCGCCGCCGCCTCCTCGGCGGCCGGATTCACCCCGGCGCCGCGGCCGGGTCTGGCCCGGGCCCGGGCTG